TGATTCTATGATATATTTAACTTTGGATCTATGGTATGAGAGATCATTTTCTTTCCCCTGTTTGTTTTCTTGCTTAGACTACAAGTCTCTTGGTATCTTGAAAAGACAGTTTCCCAATGCCCCCTTGATTGGATTGACAGCAACAGCTACAAATCATGTTTTAAAGGATGCTCAGAAAATTTTGCATGTTCAGAAGTGCATTACCTTTACTGCATCTTTCAACCGGCCCAACCTTTACTACGAGGTATGTCTTGTTACCTGTTTGTTTGACTGCATGGTGGTCACGTTATCTTCTCTAAGTTACAGCTGCTGAAGTTTACAATAGATTTTCAATGACAGATTTTAATAAAAATAGCTTTTCAACTGAATTATGGTATTCTTTCATGACCTCATCTTGCTGAACTTCCTGTCATCTGTAGAGGAACTTGGACATCTGAAGATGTTCAAAACCCACCTGGACACTTTCCTGTGCAACCTGTTGTAGGGAACCTGCTTTGGCAGGGGGGTTGGACTGGATGATCTGAGGTCCCTTCCAATCCCCACCATTCTGTGATTCTGTGACTGCTCAGTCTTTGTGAGCAAGGCTTAGTAGATAGGACTCTACAGGGAAGACCTAGGTAGCTGGCCCAGACTGCTTCCAAATTGTTGAAAGATACGTCATATGATTGCAAAAAGTTGTGAATTACTGTGTTATACTATATTTTCAGTTTGACCACAGCTTCTTTTCTTGTTCATAGAAAAACCTGTGGACTTTTTTTTTTCTATGGACTTTTGAGATGCAGTCTGGCTACGTGAAGAGAATCTAGAGATTTTGGTTAAATGGCAGAATAGTTGTGTTTATTGTACTGGAAGAAGTAGGATAATAGGATGGTTTGACAGACTGTGTGCTCACTTGAAGAACTCTCTGGCATGTTTATTATATTTTTGAGGTTCGACATAAGCCTTCAAATAATGAAGATTTCATTGAGGATATAGTTAAGATCATTAATGGAAGATACAAAGGACTTTCAGGTAAAAAGTGTAAAAAAACAAAATAAATGAAGGGGGTTTTTAAATAATTTTAAGCATTACAGGGTTGTTTTCAAGTGCTCCTGAAACACGTAGAGAAATTCTGCTTTCACCATACATTAAGCATCCAGCATTAAAAGGAATGAAATTTAATAAGATCCATACCTTGAATAATTACTCTTTTCAGTCATTAGTGTTTACATGTCTTTACAGTTTACTTATATCTTCTGAAGGATTGAAATGCAATGTTGCTGTATATAGAGCAATGCTTACATAGATAAGAATAATAGAAATTTTTAAGATTGTAAAAACAAGGCTCCAGAAAGGTTATTTCTGTGTTCTGAAGTCATGTGTATGCTGTTGAGTATCTGTGTGCCACGATGCTTACTGTCTTTAACACCACTTTTCCATATTTGATTATGGGATTCATTCATTATTCAGTGCCCAGAATGGGGGTGTGGTGGGATGAATTCAACTTTTGTGATGAATGCGGAGCTGTAAAAGCTGAACCTTTTGTAATCAATACATTAAATACTGCAAATAAAGAGGAGAGCCATATTACAAAGGCAACAGAACTCGGTTTTCCAGAGCAGCAGTCTGTCCCTGGCTCTGCTGTGGAACACTGTGGCTGTGCTGAGCAGCTCCTCAAGTACACACTGTGCTGAGATGATCACAGAATGTGTGGGTTTGTGTGCAATCCTTGAGTTAGCCCAGACTGACTAATGACAAAAAGGAGATTGATCTGAAACCTCAGGTGAGATGTCATAATGAACAGCATCCCCGTGCATCACCATTGCCCTCCTTGAACATTAATAGAATACTTCCATCCTGATGTGGATTCACACCCATATTTTCTCTTGAGCTTCCAAGTCAAAGCTGATAATTGAAGTTCTGTTCATGGCTTACCAGTGCTGCAGACTGAATAGGCACAAAGATTGGTTACTGCTTTTTATTTATTTGTTTTTAAGTTAATAAAACTTTCAAAGTTGTTTTTAAGTACTGAGGATTATTTGTTTGTTTGGTTTTGTTTTTTTTTAAGACATTACAATAAGGAATCTTTCCCTTTTGTGTAGGAATCGTTTACTGCTTTTCTCAGAAGGATTCTGAGCAAGTTACTGTGAGTTTGCAGAAACTGGGAATCAAGGCAGGCACTTACCATGCAAACATGGATGCTAAATATAAGACCAAAGTTCATAAAGGATGGGCAGCAAATCAAATCCAGGTAAAGCAGATACGTTTCATAGGCTTATGTTTCATCTAAACAAATGGTGTTCTAGTACCTTGATGGTTTCTTAATCTTTTTTCAGGTCGTAGTGGCGACTGTTGCTTTTGGCATGGGAATTGATAAACCTGATGTGAGGTTTGTAATTCATCATTCTATGAGCAAATCCATGGAGAACTACTACCAAGAGAGTGGACGTGCAGGTATTGTAGGAAATGGCTTTTGCAAAGGAACCGTTTGCATCTGTTAAAGCAATAAAATTGTACTTTGATTTCAGCCATTTGTGCAAAGTCTCTTGGATTTGAGACTAGTTCTAAAATGTGTAAGGCCACTCTAGCTCTGTAAAGAGGCTTTAAAGCAAATCTGCATTACAGTAGTGATCTCGGGCCTGTGGACTGAGCATAGCAAAGAATAAATGGTACCTAGCCCTTTACACAGCATTTCTTCAATTATTTATTTAATTTTTGTGGCATCTGTGACATTACCAGGATCATTTCATAACATGACATGGACTGATCAGATGCAGGTTACAGAAAGGACTTCTTTTTTCTTCTTTGCATAGCAGCTGGGATGCATGGTTGGCTCAGATTGTCTCTAGATGATGTCTAATCACTGAATGCATTTCAGTGGCAGCAGAAATACGAACAGGGTGAGGAGTCTGGAGCAGGGAATTTTAAGGGTTGATCAATGTATAGCAGCACTAAATAGCTGTTATGTCTAAGAAGAAAGGTTTTGTGGTGTTTTGTTTTGCTTTGGGGTTTTTTTTGACCTTGTGCATTATTACTTTTTCAAAGGCAGATTTGAAATGATGTGGAAGAAAGGTGTTTAAAGGTGTTATTTGCCCCCTGAGGGGCAATTGGTTGAGATTTTTAACTATCCCTTTTCTGATAAATACAACAATCACAAAAGTTTGTGGGAGTTTGCATCTGCTTACACTAGAGATACCCACGCAGGTGCTAAAATAGTTGTTTCACAATGTTTATCAACCTGGGGTGATTAGAGCAAGCTGCTTCTTCATAACTTGATTTAAATGAGATTCTTCTGGGTGGGAGATTAATTAAGCACCGCTACTCATTTGTCTGAACCTACTACTTAGCTTATGAAACCTTCCTTTTTCGCCTTGACTGCCCATCCAAGTGAAGTAATTCCTTTCTGTTAAAAGTTTGTTTTTTAGACCTTTTCTGCTCTCTGCACCTTGTAAACAGCAGGAGAGCACCCATCAACACATCACTGGTGGGAAAGGGTGGGAAACGGGAAGGAAGAGATGATCCAGGTTCGGCTGTAGAAGACACAGTTGGTTTTAAATGGAATATTTTGTTAAATCACACCTAATTCTCTCTTTATATATTACCACTAATACCTGATAAGGTATTTGAAGCTCACAATGTCTTTTAATCAAATAAGAATTAGACTTCAAGATGGATTTGGCTAGGATTTTCCAAGCGGTGTTATGGTGAGAAAATGGTGCTTTCACCGACTTTCTGTATGACATCAATATTTTATTTTAATTGTTAAAGAGTCTAAATCTTTGTGTAGTATTTTCAATTTGCTTGATTCTGTAGTTGTTGAAGACTGTTCTAAATCTATTTTATTTCTAGTCTGTATCATGCTGTGTTCTATTAGCTCATATGTTATGCTTGATACTCTGTTATAGTCACGTACTTTCTATGTAGGGACTGCAGAAGCCCAAGCAGGTAAGAGTGGAATTTGTACCAGAAAATGCTATCCTTAAATCTCTTCTAAAGCTTAAAGTTGATTTTTTTTTGTTGTTGTTTATTTTAATGCATTGCAGGTAGAGATGACCAAAAAGCTGACTGTATTTTGTATTATGGTTTTGGAGATATATTCAGAATCAGCTCAATGGTAGTGATGGAAAATGTAGGACAAGAGAAGCTGTATGATATGGTGTCTTACTGCCAGAACATGAACAAGTAAGTTACTGTGGTGGCTTGGTTGCTTAGTTTTTAAATAGTTAGGCTAATTTTGTTGGGTTTTTTAGAGGGTATTTTAAAAAAAATTGCACAAAACCAACAACAAAATAAACACCCCACCACACTATAGAAACACTACTATTGTAACAGAGTCTAGAGTTTGGGGTTAGTGGTTTGGCTTCTGCACATCACTGAATGTTGGTGTGCTGCTTGCCAGCCTCAGGATAAAGTTCTGGAAGCAGTGATTTTGAGATAAAATACCTGTCAGCAAACAGCGTTTGGGTTTCAGATCCCATTCAGAGCAAATCACAGAATCACAGAATGTCAGGGATTGGAAGGGACCTCAAAAGATCATCCAGTCCAATCCCCCTGCCAGAGCAGGAACCTAAATGAGATCACACAGGAAGGCGTCCAGGCGGGTCTTGAATGTCTCCAGAGAAGGAGACTCCACCCCCTCCCTGGGCAGCCTGTCCCAGTGCTCTGTCACCCTCACTGTAAAGAAGTTTCTTCTCAAGTTTAAACGGAACCTCCTGTGCTCCAGCTCACACCCATTGCCCCTTGTCCTACCATTGGGCATCACTGAGAAGAGCCTGGCTCCATCCTCATGACATTCGCCCTTTACATATTTATAAACATTAATGAGGTCACCCCTCAGTCTCCTCTTCTCCAAGCTAAAGAGCCCCAGCTCCCTCAGCCTTTCCTCAGCAGGGAGATGCTCCACTCCCTTCATCATCTTGGTGGCTCTGTGCTGGACTCTCTCCAGCACAAATAGTGCAGTGCTTTGGTTTTTATTCTAAGGTAGCAGCGTTCCATGGCCGTACAGGAATCCTCTGCGTGTGTTTAATGCTTCACCTGCTGCATTGAGCTGTACTGAACACTTCATGGAAAACACCACTGTGTTTTGAACAACTCCTGCATTCAGTGTCGCCTTTATTGGCCTCAGTCTAAGAATCAGTTCAAATTCTCCTGATTTTTCATTCTGTTGGAATTGCAATTAAAGTTACTTCTTAGTTTTAACCCAGCTGTTCCTAGAGCAGCATTTAGTGTCGCTGAAAGCCACCAGTGACTCCTGTTAGCATAACTGCCAGGGAATATGGTCTTGCAGTGTTTGTTTTCTGATTTTTTCTGAGTTAATTCTTCATGCTTGTGTTTTGATATGAGCTGACCCAGGGGATCTTCTTTTTGCCACCTTCATGATTGGTGACACGGGTGCATGCATTGATGTTCTACAGTCCCTCTTTCCTCTCTGTTCTCTCAGGTGCCGCCGTGTCCTCATAGCCCATCACTTTGATGAAGTGTGGGATTCTGCGAACTGCAACAGAATGTGTGATAACTGCTGTAGAGAGAACCGTAAGTAAATGGTGTTTATAACCAAGGACAGAGAACGTGGAGAAGATTGGCTTAAAGAAATACCTAGACAAACTGTTAGCAACTTCCGTAAAGTGAACTTCTTTCCAGGGTTCGACTTTTGTTACGAACATCAGTTTTTGGTGACTTAGTGTTGCCAGATTCAGGGTGTTTAGCAGGATGCTTCCTGGTTTGGCTTTTTGTCTGAGGCCAAACACTTCAGTATCTTTCAGGCTCAGCTGTTCACCTGTTCCCAGAAGTGAAGCTGGGGCAAGGGGGAGATTAGCTTACCTGTTTTGAAAAGATTCTGGTATGTGTTGGCTTTTGTTTCTGGATTTTATTTTGGGTATAAAAGCTTTATTTTGCGAAGGAGCCTTTTGCTCTCTGCATACCACAGTGTTCACACTTATGCTCTGAGGAGGCACAGTTTGCACACGTCCTTTTACAACTTGCCTGGTAAAATCTCTGAGGGTTTCAGTGCTGCATGGTGAGACCTACCTGTGTCAGGACTGTGCATGTTCTGTTGTGCAGAACAACTGAGGACACTCACTCAGGGTTTTGCTGTGTGCTCTCACTCAGGGTTTTGCTGTGTGCTCTTCCTTTGGAGGAAAGTTGGGATCATCAGAGGGAAGGCACATGGGCCAGACGTAGAGGGGACTTGGGAGATGAGCTGAAACAAGACCTGCTGCATGGTAAAGGAGGATGGTTTCAGTAGAACATGGTTCTGGGACATAAGTTCTTATGCTGCTCTGCCTGCAAAGATCTTGGGCAGTGGTGGGTAGCTGGCTTAAGCTCCACTTTCATGGGTGATTATTGGCTGCTTTAACTGTCACTTTGCTACTCATCCAGAAAGCTGTAAGTCTCTGAAGATGCACAAAGTATCTGTTGCTGCTCTAAGTGAGAGCTCTGGTTTAGGCATAGGAAATCCCATACAAAGCTAGAAAGCTCTGAAAAGAGTGCTGAGAAAAAGCTGGTCTTGGGCATCTCTAGCTGGACACAGAAAACCACCTTAAATTTATTTGAGGACCTGGTGAATTGTAATACGTGGAAAATACCATCTCATATCTGTTGCAAAGTGTTTGGATAACGTAGTGATCAGTACTTGAAAAACTTGGGAACAACTCTGTATTCAGAACTGTCCTCATAACTAGACTTTATTTTCCTGTTCATTTTGGGGGGGGGATAAAGAAGACAAAACAAAGATATTTAATTAAAAAAATACAGTTATTTATATAATCAAACTCTTGCAAAATCATGCAGGTAACGATGTCTTGTTATCTTCTAGTTGGAAATGGGCCTTAGTTGAAATTTATACTGGGATCAGAGGTTGAGAAGAGTATGGAGCTGGCTTGTACCCAGGACTTAGAGGAGCCATGGGATGAAGTATGGTTGAGATATGTCCTGTTTAACTGCTGGTTTACCCCCAGGGCCTTTTGATATATAAGCAAGCTCTGAGGAAACCTAGCAGTAGCACTAGTTCTTCAGTAGTTAGTTCTTAGTATTGGAGGAGGTAGTGGGGGTAATTCCATGCCATGATCTGATTGTGCAGTAGAAGAGTGATCATTATGCACTACACAGATATCTTGGTGGTCAGAATAATTATTCATGATGAAGCTAATTTGTATAATGAAATTAATTATTTTCTTCTGCCTCAGTTTGTCCAATAAGTGTCTTGAGAGAAGAAATGTCTCGCTTATATTCTTCAATTCCTCTTTGCTCTCTAATCTTTCCATAATAAATATTATCCAATACCTGAAGGGGCTACAAGAAAGCTGGGGAAGGACTTTTCATAAGGGCAGTTAATGACAAAACAAGGGGAAATGGGTTTAAGCTGAAAGGGGGAAGGTTTAGATTAGATATTAGGAAGAAGTTCTTCACTGTGAGGGTGGTCAGACACTGGAACAGGTTGGCCAGGGAAGTTGTAGATGCCCCCTCCCTGGAAGTGTCCGAGGCCAGGCTGGATGAGGCTTTGAGCAACCTGGTCTAGTGTAAGGTGTCCCTGCTGCTGGCAGGGGGGTTGGAACTGGATGATCTTTAAGGTCCCTTCCAATCCAAACCATTCTGTGATTCTATGATTATGGGTGAGGAAAACAAATCCATCTGCAGAGTAACATAGTAGCTACCTTACAAATTTTATGCTTTGTAAATGCTTCTTTGAAATAATTTATGTGGTTTCTAATGTTAAATACACGTACAAATGTTTGCAGGATTGGAGTTTTAATAATGAAGTAGATAAATGTAAGTTTCAGTAGAAATATATCCTGCTTTGACAGAGGGGAAAGTTACAGCTTTATTTGTTAAGTTCCAGTTTAAAAACAATCATTGCTATTATATGGCACACAGATATATATTTATAGATATACAGCTATATCTATCTATCTATCTATATATATATAAATGTGCACATATATGTATACACCTAATGTATATATGGATACCATCTAAATAACTGTAAATAACTTGCTATTTAAATGTTACTTCACTTTTATTTGTAGCATGTGAGAAAATGGATATAACAGCATACTGCAGGGATCTGATCAAGATACTCCAGCAAGCTGAAAACATGAGTGAGAAACTCACCCCGCTGAAGTTAATCGACGCGTGGTCTGGGAAAGGTGTATCAAAATTCAGGGTGGCTGAAGTTACTCCACCAAAGCACCCTCGAGAGGAACTGGAGAGAATTATTGCCCATTTACTGCTGCAGCGGTATCTGAAGTATGTAAGATGACTACTTCTTTTCTTAACATCTAGTAGTCATTTTTCTTTACTCTCATCTTATTTCTGTGTATAGCATTAAGTCTCATTTTTAGCCTTTATTTCAGGTGCATTTAATAGATTTTAAAAAGCCTCAAGAGAGTACTGTATTTCTACTTCAAAATGTTAAAACAGAAGTTGGAGGAATATTTGAAATTCTGCATCTCTTGCAATTTTGAAAAGCTGGGGTCTTCTGTGTATTCAAGCTGAACCTTTAAATCTGCTGTTAATACAGAATCTATTTACATTCCATGGTTAAGAAAGCAGATGGGGTTGCCCAGATGAAGTCTAAAGTCAAGACAGGCTGGCTAAGTTGGAAAGAGGTTTTGTCTTTTCAGATAGTTTTAGAAGTTCCAAGAATATGTACAAATCCATTATTTAATCCCTTTATTTTTGTCTAAATTTTTTTGTTTGTTTGCACAGCTGACTTTTAATAAGAGAGTGAGCAGATGACTTCTTTACATCTTTTTTTCCTCATTTTCCTCCATGTATTCCAACACATCGACACGTGCGTGTGTGTAAAGCACCACACACTGAACTGTGTTTGCTGAATGTTGCCCAGACTCTCTCTCAATGAAGTGACTTCAAGGCAGAACCAAGTTGCTGTTTGGAACGCACATCAGAAGGGTTCAGGTGTCCCGTTTTCCCCCTGTCTTGTCCCCAACCTTTTCTTAAAACACTGATTTAATTTGTGCAGGGAAGACTTCAGCTTCACGGCATTTGCTACAATATCCTACCTGAAGACAGGACCAAAAGCAGATCTGCTGAAAAATGAGGCACACGTCATCACTATACAAGGGATAACAAACAAGAAAAGTGTTTACAAGGTATTTACATCTGTACTGACCTCCTATATAGATATCTTTTCCATTAGAGTTTATTTTAATAGTTTGGTATCTGCTCAATATATTTTTCAAAGGAATCCAATCAACAGGATTTAAAATAGACCTCATTATCTTCTCTCTTGTTGGGAACATTGAAAATGAAGGAAAGCAATGTTAGAATTTTAATAAATTGTTTATAACTTACAGGACAAACCATCTCCATCTTCAAACTCAAAAGGAAGCAGAGAAAATGCTCAGACTATTTCAAAGACTGTCCAAGATTCATCGGTGAAGAAGTCCCAGGAACATAAACGGCCTCACTGTAGTTCTAACTTAAAAGCGAAGAAGCTCAAGCTTCAGGCAGGTGGAGACGACCAACCAGTAGTTCTTGATTGAGTTTGACAGACTACATTTAGGATCTAATCATGTTTGCTTCTCCATGGACAAAGCAGCCTGTAAGTTCAGTTTGTGTTTTAGTAATGGTATTTTTTTTAAATAAAAAACAAACAGAGGGGAAACAAGTATCTTTAAAATCCTCAGATCTAGAAAAGGTCGAGCAGTCAGAGGAAAAATGCTTCATCTCAAAATAACCAGCGTGTATCTTACAATACAGCAGTGACTAAGAAATGTAAGTAATGGCCTCCAGCTGCATCTACCACACGGTCTGGATGGAGCAGCCTGCTCCTCAGGCTCTTGCCATGGAGGTCACTGCAGGTGTGTCAGCCATTCCTTGGAGCGCACGGCACACTGATCCTCCTCGGCACCAGAGAGGATGCACAGCTCGACCACTGTACCCCAGCAGCTGAAGTGACACCTCATCCTGGCTTCCACTGTTCAAAGTTTTTGCATTCTGTATTTAGCTGAGTCAAAAAGACATTTATTTCAGAATAAACTTCCTAGAAAACAAAACCAACCAACCAAAAAAACTTATTAGAAAACAAAACAAAACAAAAACCAAAAACAAACACAAGAAAGCCAAAGCCTCCATCTTGCTGTACCTTTGCAGACCACATTCCAGGCAGTGAGAGCTCCGAGCGTCCCCTGTTAATCTGAGCCAGCTCGACAGCGACGGTACCAGTACCTGGAACAGGAATCTTGGAAACCTGTGGCAAGTACTCGCAGGTCTGAGCAGCGGAGGGGGGCAGTAGGGGGGTAACACGTTGCATGACTGCCTTGTAAACCTTCATCTGGGCGGGTGGGTTTAGGACATGGGCTTTCCTGCCCTAGCCAGTCCTCACACCGCCCAAGTCCAGAGGTGGCAGGAGAGGCAGCACCACCCCATCAAGGCATCCTGGCTCACAAGGGTGGCCACTGGTTGAGATGAGGAAGATGCGTGGCAGGAAGCGGGGCTCTGGTAGCCACGGCAGGTGAATTATGAAAGGTTTGGGGAAGAGGAGAGCTAGGAGGCAGGCGTGGCATTCAACATGTTTTATTTACTGTTAAAAGACGAAGGCTGCCTCGCGTCCCAGTGAATGCAGTGCTGGCTTAACAGCACAGTGAAACCCACTTTATAAGACACTGGCAGTCCTGTTCTCATATGCTCATCTAATCTAGATGAAAATTCTTTCCCAACATTAATCCACTTCCTTTTGTTGCTGCAGATTAATTTAATTTGTCAGTCAGTATTTTCACAAGATCAACACAAAATCTTAATAAGGAATTAAATTTATCCCTAATTTCTGGTAATCCTGAGGAAAACATTTTGTAAGACATTACTCAGTGTCAAAAGTTCATACAAAATGGAAATGGATTTTTGTTCAATCAAAATAATCTTCTATATCAATATCTGGATTCAGGAGATCTTCACCATAGGCTGAAAGATCCATTTGATTTAAAATTAAGTTTTCAAAGGTTTCTTCCAAGTCCGTTTCACCAATCAGCACAGCTCCCATCATTCGGCCATTCTGCATCACCACTTTCACATACTCTTGTCCCTTGGTACATCTCAGCATCAGTTCATGGTCCAAACCCAAGCCTTGAGCATTGTATTTTCCCAAAACCACCACCTAACAGAAGGAAAAAGGAAAAGCACTCATAAGATCATTGCAGTGCCCTTCAGTATTTCTGCTGGTAACAGTTCTAAGCTTCAAAAGACTGATGTAAACTGGGAAATATTTGTCCCCAGGGAACCTCCCCCCTTCATTGGCTTTGAAACACACAACAGAATTAAAATTTCATCACCTTGAAATATGATACACAAAACCCACTAATGAACCAGTTACCACGGTGAACTGTATTGAATTTGTTCATGAACAGAAACTTAATGAAATGGAATATATGCAGATGCAAAGTGGATCAGCTGTCATTCACCAATACAAATCTGTAATACATCTGTAAAGATCTTTGCCCTCTTCAGTTTCAGCAAAGTTAGAATGCAGAAAATCTAAAGGAAGATTAATGATTACACAGACACTAACTACTGTTCTGTCAATATTAAGGCATCTGCTCAGTGCTGGCAGGTGAATATAAGCAACCAGTATGTGTGTTACTCGGGGGTTTAAGATTATTAGATTGTATTTACCTTGTAATTGAAAAATTTTGTAACATGAGCAAATAGTTCAAAGCAGAAATCCAGATCAATAGATTCCCCTAAAGTATCTGCTGCCATGCATTTGGCTGCGTACCATCCCATCTGCCTGGCTTGAGTCCACAGTCTCATCTGAAAAACAAGAAATAGAATGATTTAAACACACAGAGCTGAATGTGGGTGTAATGCCCACATTGTGGGTGCTCTCAGGAGGTGCTTCACAGGTCTTTTCATGTCTCCAATACCTTGTACTGATAAATCACACGACACAGCATCCATGTAATATGGGGAGAGTAATACCCCATTCTCCCATCTGATAGTGTTCCCCTCATACACTTAAAGGAGAACTTAATTGGTTGTCCCCATGGTCCTTGTGGTCCTGATTCACCATGCAGTCTCTTTTTGGAATATGTACTATAAGCTCTACTCCCTCTCTACTCCACTCTGGTGAGACTCCACCTGCAGTACTGTGTCCAATTCTGAGGCCCCCAACACAAGAAGGACATGAAGTCTGGGGCCAGCCACAAGGATGATCTGAGGGCTGGAGCAGCTCTGCTGTGAGGACAGGCTGAGAGAGTTGGGGCTGTTCAGCCTGGAGAAGAGAAGGCTCCAGGGAGATCTTATAGTGACCTTCCAGTACCTGAAGGGGCTACAAGAAAGCTGGGGAAGGACTTTTCATAAGGGCAGGGAGTGACAGAACAAGGGGAAATGGGTTTGAACTGGAAGAGGGGAGGCTTAGATTAGATATTAAGGAGAAATTCTTTCCTGTGAGGGTGATGAGACACTGGAACAGGTTGCCCAGAGAAACTGTGGATGCTCCTCCCTGGAAGTGTTGAAGGCCAGGTTGGATGAGGCTTTCAGCAACCTGGTCTAGTGGAAGGTGTCCCTGCTGATGGCAGGGGGGTTGGGACTGGATGATCTTTAAGGTCCCTTCCAACCCAAACCATTCTGTGATTCTGTGATCTGTGTCACTGTGCAAGGCCTGACACTCCCTGTCTCATCAATGCACACTGCGTGTTTCCATCATCCTCGGAAAGGCCGAAGAGCTTGGCTTTCAGCCACAGAGATAAAACGATCTGTGACCAACACACCTCGGGTTATCTACTTCATTTCAACTTTCTTTTCTCCCATCTGTGTAACAGTGTGTAGCTTACACAGCTGCTGAGCGCACAGCCCCATGATCTGATTTACCTGATGCCACACTGGACTAGGTTCCCAGGCCGCTGTGCAGATATCCCCAGCTGCATATACATCTGGTAGGGATGTGCGCATGTGCTTGTCAACTTTAAGACCTCCATCTTCACCTAGAGCAAACTGAAGTATTGGCACACATCAGGACTGAAGAAAAATAATAATTTAGACTAAATCATTCCATTTCATCCATGTGAAGCAGTCATCTCATTTGTTACTTTTTAATGGCAGATTCCTCTAAGGAAATTTCAGTAATTCCACTATTCTGCTTAATCAAAATGGAAGATACTAAATGATGTGAATAAATACTAAGGGAACCCAGCAAGATGCTCTTCTGGATGCCATGTAGCAACAGAAAAAAAAGGTCATGCAGTGTAAACAATTTATGGCTATTCATTCTCCCATCTAATCTGACTCAATTAGAAAGACTGAGAACCACAAGAAAAACATGTTCAAACCTCCCAATGGTTGCGACTGCTTCCTCTTCAAGGGAAGAAAACAGATCCCTCAAAGAGCGTGTCCTAGCCCAGTGAAACTATCAGAGTGCCGTAATGAAGTGCTTTTCAGGACTGTCTACATATCAAGCATTACTGCTCCACATTATAGTGCAGCCCTGTCCCCTGCAGAATTTATCCTAAATTCCTGAATCTTATCAACCCTCTCTCACCAAGTCTAAGAACAGATCAGCGTTGCACTTTACAAGTGACTTTCTGTATGGGCTTTGTGTGGCCAGGTTTTGGTAGCAAGGGGGCTACAGAGGTGGCTTCTGTGAGAAGCTGCTAGAAGCTTCCCCCTGTCTGACAGAGCCAATGCCAGCTGGCTCCAAGACAGACCCACCGCTGGCCAAGGCTGAGCCCATCAGTGATGGTGACAACACCTCTGTGATAATATATTTAAGAAGGGGAAAAGTTGCTGTGCAGCACCAATTGCAGCCAGAGAGAGGAATGAGAAGATGTGAGAGACACAACTCTGCAGACACCAAGGTCAGGGAAGAAGGAGGGGGAGGAGATGCTCCAGGTGCCAGAGCAGAGATTCCCCTGCAACCTGTGGTGCAGACCATGGTGAGGCAGGCTGTCCCCCTACAGCCCATGGAGGTCCATGGTGAGGCAGGCTGTCCCCCTACAGCCCATGGAGGTCCATGGTGGAGCAGATGTCCCCCTGCAGCCCATGGAGGTCCATGGTGGAGCAGATGTCCACCTGTAGCCCATGGAGGTCCATGGTGGAGCAGATGTCCACCTGTAGCCCGTGGAGGTCCCCACACCAGAGCAGGTGGATGCCTGAAGGAGGCTGTGACCCCGTGGGAAACCCACACTGGAGTAAGTTCCTGTCAGGACCTGTGGCCCATGGAGAGAGAAGCCCACATTGGAGCAGGTTTGCTGACAGGACTTGTGACCCTGTGGGGAACCCACACCACATTAAATTTTTGCTACATTAACCAGTATACAGATGTTTTTCTCTCTTGGTATAGGCTTAATCTTAACAGTGTATGTTGTACATATATTGTGTATCAATATTTATCATGAGCAGCAATAAAATAAGCCAAGAACAGTAAGGAAATTGATTTTTGGTGTGTTAGGTATTTCTGGTATCAACAATTTTGAAATGCTGTACAACATTCAGAACCTTCAGCAATCAATGTTTCATGTCAGAAGCATAAACCAGCTGAAAGAGCTTATTACACCTGACTTAAAAAACCAGCTTCAAGAGTATACTTACGTTATTGCCATCAAGAAATGGTTTGACATTTGGCACAACTCCAGTTGCACTGACAATGAAATCGCAGCCATAAATTTTTCCATTAGTCAATTCCACGTACACAGGCCACAGCACTGAAAAAGGGGAAAATTTTGCCCTGAGAATGTAACCAACAGAAGTTATTTAATTAATTATGTCTTAT